ATTTTTGTCTTTTTTAGTTTAGAAACTTTTCATTTCTTTGATAAATTTAGGTTTTTCATATATTTTGGACTCGTGCATCACTGAAGAGACATATATTACCGAAATGAGCATCTGCTGCAGTAAAACAAGTACCGTTAATGTTATACCCGGAGAAGACAACAATAGTTATAAAACTTGTGTCTCATCCGTTTGTTTAGTTTATGAACAATAAAACTTCGGTACTGGAATAAAAATACGGATATTGTGGTTTTAAAATATTTTAAAGTAAGGAGTATATCTCCTTCATCATTCTCATGTTAAGCTCTTAATCCATTGCCCGGTTTTGCTATACTTTTTGTCCTTTTTAGTTAATTAGCTCTTCGTTTATTTTTTTTAAAGAAGTTTTGGACCTGAGCATCACTGAAGAGAAATTTATTGTTGGAATGAGCATCTAATGTAGTAGAATTGTTACCGTTTATGTTATTTGAATACACACAGATATATATATATATAAGACTCAAAACTGTTTTAGAAAGGAACCTGTCTTTTTAACTTGGTTTAAATTTGAAGGAATTTGCAGGACCACTTTTTTCCTTCACAATCATAAAGAGTTCGAAACATAGGATTGTGCTTAGCAGTCGCACACAAAAAGATTAATACTTTTTTTTTGTAATTTTTACAAAAAGAAGAAAGTGGCTTTTATCTCCAGTGGTTTAATATGTCTATTCTTTTAAAAAAAAAGTATTCGGTCGCTCACTAAGTCCATTGAACAATTCTCTAATTACACAAAGTCCAGGTCATTGCAGACCGTTTTTAATCATGAACATGGAGTTAATCAACAAAAGCGTTTGATGCAACAAAACAGTAAAGTATTAATAAAAGATATGAACTTAAAAGACAGGCGAAAGATACCAAACGGACATTCAAACAGTCAAAAATGATCTGACAAAGCCACGACTTAAAAAGAAAAAGATCAACAGACAAACAACAGTTCACAAACCACAACATAGAAAACTAAAGACTGAGCAACACGAACACCACCAAAAACTGGGGGTGTTCTCAGGTGCTCCCGATGGGTAAGCAGATCTTGCTCCACATGTGGCACCCGTTGTGTTACTTATGTAAGTACAAACCCGGTTATAAGTCCAATTCGGTAGGTCACATTTCGGTTCGTGCTTTTGACAACTTATTATTACTTCTGTACATGGTAAATTAAATGTTTTGCACTACAAATTCTGTTTAATTTTTCCTGACAGGACCCAATTATGAATGCCTCAATAGAAAGGGGGATGTTTTGGTAACATTAGTAACAAACGATGTGATGAATTCTAATTTTATATGTACACATGTCCTCATGAACTTAAATCTAAAATAAAACAAAATGTTATTTCTCTTACGTCATTGTAATAGTATGCACATTGCCTAGTCTATTGTTATGGATTAAGAAATTTTAATATTTTCAAAGAATTTAGATCAAGCCAAGTTGAAACAAGTGCAATTTTCCCATCGAGAAAGATGCACCTATTGCTATAACGATCTACAAATGTATCAGTAACGATTAAATGCATTCAGAAAGCAGACAATGGCCTGGAGTTCTTAGAAATGAACCTAATTGACCTTTAACAATTGTAAAACAACTTTCGAAAACTTATTCACTGAAATAACTTCATATTACTCAATATAAATGTTCTATCAAAATCTTAATATCCGCGTATTTCTTTATTATTTCTTAGAATAAAATCTTCACCTGAATCAATAAAGTTTGTTAAACTCTTATTTGGACATGTTTATTTGCAATGACCGCCAGCGAATGAATTGAACGCAAATTCATGGAAACGCAACAAAATAGGTATTTAACCTTTCCAAATGGCTTATAGATTTGCTTGTCGTATTTCTTAGAAATTCTTTGTTTGTACATTTCCTTATCTAATTAATGTAATATTATGCAATATGTCTATACTGTAAACAAAGGAAATACTGTTTTATTATTAGATTTAATCATTCAATTAGTATAGCTAGTGACACAAGCAATGATTTCATTAATGATTTGTTAATAAAAAATCAAAATATTTGACGTAATGAGAGGATGAGGCGAGATAACTCAAATATCTTTGGGTCCTCAATTGCTCTTCATCTCCGTACTGGTGAGTCTTTTATAGACGAATCGGTTCTGGTGTACAAGATTTTCAGCCTGGTATCTATGATGTGTTAATCATATATGATAAAAAATTTCGTCCTCCTTTAGCATTGAGTTTTGCTGATGTTATTAAACTCTTTTTCAACGTATCAAGGCCGTAGCCTGAATGCGGTTAAGGATTTAAGGCATTAAAGAGACTTTCCTTTTTGAATTTTCCTTGGAGTTCGGTATTTTTGTTTTTACGTTTTGCTAGATAATATGCAATATGTTTTTTGTAATATTCTTTATAGTGTTTTTAATCATCATAATTTTGAAGGTTTACAATTCCATGTGGTGCCTTTACGGGGAAGGCATTATTTTTATATAAGCAGGTTAAGTTCTTTGAACCTGCTTTCAGTAAGAGTGAGCATTCTTGAGTATAATTAAGTATTTAACAACATGTAACTGTGTTTTAGATGTCGTAAATATCGATACAATACAATTAAACACTTTTAAACAACTGATTGCAATTATGCGTAATTTTTGTGAACCTCTCTGATGGAAATTTAATGGTTTGGAGGATTGAGTGCTAATTAATTTTTTAATCCCGTCACAGTTTCACCCGCCTATCCGAAGTCAGGAACTTCCTGTATATTTTTGTCTTAATTTTAATGTTTTATTAAAAAAAAGAATAGAATGATATCTAATATTGCTCAAGGACACATGGTCTTCAAATAAAATAAATGTGTTATTGTTTTGAAACAAAAATATTACTGTGGATTTCTATCCTGTTTTGTGTTGTTGAATACATGTAGATTTGTCAATGTATACATGCATCCTAAAAAAATACAAAGCTTGCAATAAAGTTTTCTACTCTTCATTGCAAGGTAATTAAATCTTCTTTAAATGTTTGAACATGTTTAAACATTCCTTTTATGTCTGTTTGGTTTGTTCACACATTGTTGTCAATATAATGGAATTATATGCGACTGTCATACAAGTGAGAGGTTTAGCTAGCTATAAAACCAGGTTTAATCCACCATTTTCTACATAAGAAAATACCTGTACCAAGTCAGGAATATGACAGTTGTTTTCCATTCGTTTGATGTGTTTGAGTTTTTGATTTTGCCATTTGATAAGGGACTTTCCGTTTTGAATTTTCCTTGGAGTATTTTTGTTATTTTACTTTTTTCAAAATGAGATCCAGAAAGCCACAACAGAAAGGAGAGCGTTTTTATCAACATTTGCAACTAAAATTCCAACTCCCTCATGCAACATTAACCTTAGATGGATTTGGCTATTATTGTAGGTCCAGTTTGGTGATTAAACTCTTAACTTTTTCCCTTTCTTATACAGTGTTGACTTTCAAGTTATGGCTTTGATCGTTCCTAATGACGAAAATCTAGAAAACCGCAACGTTTTTATTTTATTCGTATCAAGTCTTACATATTGAATGAGAATAGAAAAGGATTGTAACTCAAGTCATGAACATTGCTTCCAGCAAACACAATGTTTTATAGCTATATATCATCAAACAATTTCAAAGCAGTAAAATAAGTAAATATGCAAAGATGTATTGAAAAGGTTAACAAAATGTATCCCTTGGACAAATCTCTCAAAATGAAGTAAGTTATTGATTTAGAGAACTCCAAAAAATAATTTGGACACAATAAGAAAAAATAGTGGCGGGGGTGGTTTGGCGGTGAACATTGACATTTAATAGTAAAGAATCTGAGAAAAATGTAACAAAAAAATCAATGAGGGGTTTATGAGGACATGTGGTTATACAATGAGTATATCATGCCAATGTAAACCCACAAAAATCATTCGAATGAAGGCATTAAAAAAGAAGGTAAAAAATGCACTATGTAACTAAGATTCTGTGAACATTAACAACATTCTGTCTAGCGGTTCAAGACCAGCAAAAGGGGAACGAATTAATGGACTGACGAATGCATGGACACATCTTTAAATTTATACATCCTGGTTCAAAAAGCGGAAAATATAATCAGTGCAATTTGCAAGTTGAAAACAATTCAAATGCTTCTATGAGGAACTATTTTTAATTACCTAGATTCAATGAATTCACAAAACAGATTATTGCCTGCAATTCTCAGAAAAGAACTTGACTGACATTTCATAGAACTGTATTACTACCCTTGAAAAGTCATATTTCCTACAAAAGTTTCGCGTTGATAAAGAGGGACTTCAGTACAAAATGTTAATTATCTCTATTTTTACGTTTTTTCTAAGAATATCATAAGAACCTAAATCTTTCAAAAAGATTGTGACAATGGTTTTAAGTTTTGTTTATATGCATGATTGTAGGAAAAGGCATAATTGTTTTCGTATGACTCGTTGATGGTCTACTTATAGTTTCTTAGAAAATGAAAAAAAAACCACATTATCTCGGAAGTCATTTTAGTAATTCTTTTGGAAATCGGTAATGATTTTATGCATCATGCAGAATAGCTAGCTATATGTCCATGATTTTATTAATTTTGAATGTGCGAAAACTTCGCAATACTCTAGCGGGATAACTGAAATGTATTTTTTATACGTTACTAATTGATTATACTTCCTTAAATATCACATATAAGTGTAAACGTTCTAGCCTGAATTTGTTTAGAGGTCTATCCAATTATAAGCACATAATATGTTTGCGGTTATTTTCTGTTATCGTGCTATTTAGAATAATTATTTTGAAAGCTTACAATTCTTTAGTGTACATTCATTGATAGCATGGCACTATTTTCAAATCAGAAGGACAAGGGCCTAAAGCGTGCTTTAGGTAATTGCGAGCTTTCTTTAAGGTTTCATATTGTTATCAAGTCATGACCTTGTGCATGTTTGTCTTGGGTAAATGTTTATACATAATTTGGTGTTGACGACATACATGACATACCTTTAAAATAGATGAGGGTTTTAATCTTTTTACCGAAATGTATCTGTCATACAATGGTTGGAACTCTTGATACGCATCTGAAACTATACAGATAATCTTAATTTTCAAGGTATATTCGTCATTATGTAACTTAACATCATAAGTCCCGTGGAATACTATGACCGAGACCCCACATTTTATTTTGATGACTATACATTACTCAGTAAATAAAAAAAAAAGATAAAAAAAAAGACGGTAAGTCATACAATATTGAAAGATAAGATTAATGTAACTATTTACGTCATAATTTTTCCAATCCATGGGAAACGAATATCATAAATGAATAGTAGTATTAGAAGATTTTTATCAGAAAAACTACAACGGCATAAATCGAAGAAGAATTTGTATAACTGCGAGTAAACGCATAAGATATCCTAAACAGAAAGCATTGAATGCTGTTAAATATTTATCCTAAGTAACAAAATATATTTGTATGACATATCGTTAAGACTGTAAAATAACTTCAAAGAATATCCTTCTGTCAAGAGTTTATTCGGATGAAATTAGATATGTTTTATTGATTAATGAAATACAGCCCTGTTTCGTGCATTACTTTTTTTTTTTTATTTTTATATCCTTCCAGCATTTGTTCAAATAGAAAAAACAAAACATACTAAAAAGAAATTGATGGTACAACATTGATCTTGATCTTTGCTCTTATCCTTTTAGAAAGGTGAAAAAGAAATATAAATATAAATACGATTTTTTTTTTACATTGACAGTGATGCGTTAGTTTCTTTTTAATGCCTCGTTAGACAAAAACAGTGTCATATTTCTAAGAAATGGGAGAAAACCGTTTTCCAGGAAATCAAGAGCCTTGAAAATCTATTTTTTCATTAGTTTGTCGTATAATTGATATATTATTCCTAACTGTTTACTAATTGTAATGTTTGTCTCGATTTCATTAGTTTGAAGGCCAAACCTTTGTATAAAAGACACACATTGACAGAAATAAAACACCTGAGAGGATATCATTTTCTCACAGGTCTTGTTTCACAATTTATCAATAGATTCGTATTCATGCCCATACACCAAACGATGTGTGCCTGACTGTCCTGACTTACTCTATCAGACCGTTCGAAAATACTCATCCTATATACCATGCTTATGATACAGTAAATGGGTAGAACATTTAGTCGTCATAAGACACATCAGAGGCACTCAAACTAAATCAAACAGAATGGTCAAATCAATTAGGAAGCTCATGAACATAGTAAACCCAGAACAATCGGATACTCCTCATTCAAATGTTTATGCTATAGTCAGTGATTGTTATATAGAAATTTATCAAATATTTTGTATTTTGTTGAATAAAATGTCATCTATATAATAATTTTCAGATTATTCCATCAAGTGGTAAGAAATGAAGGCGACTGTAGTTTACCGATGTTCAAATCTAGTAAATCGATAAAAAAAACCCAGACAAATCAAGTTTTCAAACAAAATACTGAGGGAGTCGCATGAACTAGCTCTAAAAGGAGCGAGACCGTGGAAATAAGGGAAGATTACCAGGAAATCAAATAATATCAGCGCCCTTTAAAATTATTTCTCCAACATGAAGAAAAAAAATAATCAAAGATACCAGGCTTATAAATTTTGTACGTCGAACGCGCGCTTCGTCTGCAAAAGACTCATCAGTGACGCTCGAATAGAAAAAAGTTGAAAGCCAAATAAATTACGAAGTTGAAGAGCAATTAATAATAATGTATTATCGATAAATGCTTTCAAATTTTACAGTTTATGGTAGTGTATGGATTTTTGAAAAATCTGTCTAGAACGCAGATTGTAATGGAATATTGTTTATCACATTTGTTCAAATCAGTCTGTTTGTATTTCAATCATATGTGTAAGTACATGTGAACCAAAATTATTTAGCACTAAAAAGCAACAAATTAGAGACATTAGTAGATGACTGATGTTGAAAACTGGTATATTCAGGCAACATATATAAACCAAGATAAAAAGAAATCATGAGGAAATTACGTGAACTCCAAACCAAGAAAGACTGGGTGTGTCGACAGTGTATGAACCTGAGATAAATTCAGTGAACTATATATAGCGCCTTATTTAAAAAAGTTAAAGGACAAAGGGAGATAAATCAAGTATCAAGTATAATGATATTATTCTTCCCGGTGTCTTTGACATTTAATCGCACTTATCAATTTGACATACTTCTCTGATAATTAATTTACTTAAGCTAACATTAGCATAACATCTTCTGTTATTCATCTTGATGACTATGCAAGACTCAATAAACAAAAATGGTCGAAAGAGAGGTTAAGTCATACAACTTGAAAATATAAGATTAATGTAATTGTTCACGTCATAATTTTTCCAATTCATTAGAAACGAATAACATAAACGAATGCAGTTTTAAGAAGTATTAGAAGTTTCTTACAAACAGATTAAAAAGGCATAAATTGAAGAATGTAAAAAACTGCGAGTATACACATGCATGAATCGCTAAACAAAAAGCATAATATGCATGAGTTACATATGCTGTTTAAACATTTATCTTAACTTTCTTTTATTTATTTGAAGGATATGTCGTTAACGGATAAAACTTAATTTAACTTCAAAGGACATCATTCTGTCAAGAGTTTCATAGAATTACATTCACTATTGTTTGTTGATTAATTAATTACGGACATATTTCGTCCCTTACTTTTCGTTATTTTTTTATTTTTATTTCCTTCCTGCATTTATTAAATAAGAAAAAAACAAATCATAGTATAAAGAAATTGATTTCATTTAAGGGTCGTAAACGAAGTACAACATTGATCTCTTTTTTTTTCTCTTTTCCTTTTAGAAAGGTAAAAAAAACATAAATATTACACACGAATGTTTTAATACTGACAGTGATGTGTAAGTTTCTTTTTAATGATTCATTAGACAAAAATAGTGCCATCTTTCTTAGAAATAGATGAAAACACAATTCCAGGAAATCAACAGCCTTGAAAATCTATTATTTCAATATTTTGTCGTATAAGTGACATATTATTCCTAACTGTTTACTTATTGAAATGTTTGTCTCGAATTCATTAGTTTGAAGGCCAAATCGTTGTATAAAAGACACACATTGACAGAAATAAAACACCTGAGAGGAAATCATTCCCTCAAAGGTATTGTTTAAAAATTTATCAATAGATTCGTATTCATGTCTACCAAGCGATGTGTGCCTGACTGTCCGAACTTACTACATCAGACCGTTTGAAAAACACTTATCCTATATACCATGCATATGATACAGTAAGCCAGTCGAACGTTTTGTCTTGATAAGGCACATCAGTGGCACTCAAAGTAAATCAAATGGAATGGTCAACTCAATTAGGAAGCTGAAGAACATAGTAAACCCAGAACAATCAACCACTCCTTAATTAATTGTTTTTTGCTGTAGTCACTGATTGTTATATAGAAATTTATCAAATATTGTTTTGTTTGGTTGAATTAAATGTCATATGTGTAATAACTTTAAGAGTATTCCATGAAGTGATAAGAAATTAAGCCGACTGTAGTTTACCGATGTTCAAACCGTAAATTGATGGAAAAAAAACCCAGACAAATCAAGTTTTCAAACAAAAACTGATGGAATTGCATGAACTCCAGAATGAGCGAAACCGTGGAAATAAGAAACGATTACCGGGAAATCTAATCATTTAAGCGCCCTTTAAATTTAATTCTCCAAACTGAATTAAAAAAGATAATCAAAGATACCAGGCTTATAAATGTTGTACGCCAGACGATTAAAAAAAGTTAAAAGGCCAAATAAAGTACGAAGTTGAAGAGCAATTCATAATAATGTATAATCGATAAGCGATTTCAAATGTTACAGTTTATTGTAGTGTTTGGATTCTTGAAAACTCAGAGTACAATGGAATCACATTTTCTCAAATCAGTCTGTTTTTATTTGAATCATATGTATTAGTACATTTGTACCAAAAGTTTTTAGTACTAAAAAGTAATAAATTAGAGACTTCAGTAGATTACTGATGCTCAAATCTGGTAAGAAAAAAGAAATTATGAGGAAATTACGTGAACTCCAAACCGAAAAAGACTGAGTTTGTAGACAGTGTATGAAACGGAGATGAATTCAGTGAAATTTCTCCAATAACAATGACGCACAACCTTTTATGACCCATTTAAAATTATCAAATATTCTCACAACAGTACATCGTCTACACTTCTTGGAATAAGTGTTGATCTTTTACACATTCAAATTAAACATTTTTGATACCTCATTTCCGTTAGAAAATTCTTTCACGTTTGTGAGCCTTACAGCTTGATATCTTTTAAGAACCAGTATTTCTTAGAATTAAAACCTAAATATCTGTCAAGTAGTTATAGATGTTACAGGTGAGCCAGTTTTCATTGGCAACCCAGATTAAGAAATATCAATCCAATTATGACTAGTACTTTATCAGTTTGTTGTTCTTTCTTAGAAAAAAAATCATTTTCCCTTGAAATATTTTAATGTGTTTACCCAAACCATTGTCAATTTATGCGTTATTATGTAAGATTTCGAAGACAGATAATGTCTTATAATTGCATGTAATGAATATATAGCGCCTCATTTGAAAAAATTAAAGGACAAAGGGAGATAACTCTAGTATCAAGTAAAATGAGATTATGCTTCCCGGTGTGTGACATTTAATCGTACAATTTGAAATACTTCTTTGATAATTAATTTACTTAAGCTGACATTAGCATAACAATTCAATTCTGAATCCCTACAGAGCTATAGTTTATTAATATGTTAAGGTTGAAGAGGGTCTTTGAGAATACGAAATATCTTTTGATAACAAATCAGATAAACGAAGGATAATAGAAAAAATGAATGCTACTGACTTCCATGTGTATCATATGTGTTTTGGAAATACATTTCCAGGAAAACTCGAGACAAAACCTTTGAAAAAGCCAAATGTGCAATACGTTTAAGAGCAAACAAACAAAAGGGACATATTGAGCGACACAAACCTGTCTAAAGTCAACTATGCCTGATGGGGATATAGTAAAATTACAATTCAATCAGTTATGGATAAAAAGTTAATTGACAAAAAACTTTTTTCTCAAATCGTACCGAGAACTATTAAATTAATTTTTGTCTTAAACGGTCATTTTGATCTTAACATCAACTGAAAAGTCTGAATAATAAATTATTAGGTCATGTTCAGTCTTTTAGACAAATTTTCAGACTTATCCACTGCGGTAGATTCAGTACTGATCGTTCAATTCGCTTGCAGACAATTCAGTACTGTTCAGTAGCCTTTCAGACAATTCGGTACGTTAAATACAACTACTGAACAGTCTGAACATAGATTCATAAGTCTATTCAGAAGATACAAATCAAGGTTACAAAAATACAATTCCATTTGGTCATATAACTTCTCAAGCACTTAAATGTACTGGGTTAGTACTTATTTGGTTTTTAATTAAGGCGACAGTAGTTTACCGGCGTTCAAATCTCGTTAATCGATTAAAAAGTTATTTTTAAACGTTCCTGATCCAGTAAAGCGCTTCTGAGCACTTACTTATAAAGGGTCTGTTTCAGTTTCAGTATTAAAATATTTTTGGGTTAAATTACTTTTTTGCCGTGTGTCTTACCTTAACTGTAGTGATTAATTTCTTTTTTTAGCTTTCATAATTCTTTTTCAATCTGAAAATAAATGAAAACATAGATTAAAGTGACAGTAGTTTACCGATGTTCATAGAAATATTGTGTTAGTTAAGGCGATTATTATAAATATCATATGCAATGCAAAACAAATCAAGTCGTACTGCAATTAATTTTGTTTTGCTGATTTTTTAAAAATTTTCATCGACTTATTGTGAAAATTTTTTTTTATATCAGACATTCAGGATTAACCTTAACGTCAATTCGAAGTTATGTCCCTTGATATCTTTCCACTCTTTTTGTGTATATGTTTTGTATAATACAAAGTTATGAAACCAGGTTTAATCCACCATTTTCTACTTAAGGAAATGCATGTACCAAGTCAGGAATATGACAGTTGTTTTCCATTCGTTTGATGTGTTTGAGCTTTTGATTTTGCCATTTGATAAGGGACTTTCCGTTTTGAATTTTCCTTGGAGTTCGGTATTTTTGTTATTTTACTTTTTAAAATGCCTAATTTCTTACATTTTTATCTTCAGTTTAAATTTTTCTTCTCGATTACAAAATTTGTATGCGATAACTATCTTCGGTAAATCAATGAATACACTCAGTTGTTCACTTTGATAACCTTTCGAGTTATAAAACGTAATACAATGTATATCGTTCTATGTCTTTATCATGTCTAACCGTGTTTCATCCAATCTTGCTAGTCCCCGATGGTATCAACATTCCAGTAGCCAGTATTTCTGTACCGGCGTACGAATACGGATATTGTTTTATTGAAATTTACTGTCCCTTTGGTATCTTTCGCCTTTCTTTTATAAAATTTTGGAAATCGTTTGAAATTTAGGAATATATCTCCCTCGTGTGAAGCTCCGCTTCCTTGTCCGGGTTTGGCTTCACATTTGGCCTTATTTATTTTTATCGGCTTTTCAACGTTTATACATATAGTTTTGGATTCTCAAATATTTTGGCATCACTGAAGAGAAGAGAAATAAATTGTCGAAATGCACATCTGGTGCAGTACATTTGGTACTGTTAATGTTACTGTTTTCATAAACGATGTATACATGATTTCTTAAATAAATATAAAAGTATTCATATCTTCTTCGAGGAAAACGAAAAAAAAAAACATACATTGAGAACATGATAAAATCGGTAACATCTCCGATCAGCACCATCTGTGGTACAGTTTTTTTGAATTTATTTCTTCGTGCGACTTAAGCAAAAATTTAATCGTCCTTTTTTTCGTGACATCACCGAATGAGATCTTTTCCCAAATTTGTACTTGCAATGAGTAATACGACGGATGCCACACTTGTTTACCCTTTCGGTGCACTTTAAATCACTCCTGGTTTTTGGTAGGGTTCGTGTTGCCCAGTTTTTAACTTTTTATGTAGTATTTTTATGACTGTTGTTCGTATTTTCTTCTTTTTTAAAGTTTTCTTCTTCCGTTATATACATGATGAAATAAAAATGACTTTACCCATTATCTACATATCCTATATTTCAATGAGCTCGAACATAAGGACTAACACTACGGAAATAACAACGTTTGCTTCATTCCTAGACTCATACCTATCAATGAATAACAAATAATATTTTAACACAAAATTATATAACAAATATAGTAGAAAATTATTCATTTTTCGTATACAGCCTGCATAATCTGTATCGGAGTTACTTTGCCGTGAGAGATCTATCCACTACTGCAGAGACCTCCATAACACAAGCACAACCAGTGTTAAGTAAATGGTCCAGTCTGCGTTACATTCTGCGGGTATTTACAAAAATGTTTAATGGTCGCAAATTTTAACATTGATCGCAAACACATTTCCTTAAGTCCTTTACGTTCTTTTATATTAGACTTATTGCCGGCATTGACCATTGACTCATATTTAATAGGAAAAGTTTACCCTCCGAGAGCGCATAGTTTTACGGTTTTGACGGACGTTTGTATTGTTTGAAGCTTTTAATTTTCGTGTACTTATGTTATCGATTTTAGTTCATGTTTTGTCTCTGAATTTGATATTTTAAACGTCCTTTAATATTGTTGTTTCGGTACTTTTTATTTTTAGGTACTATTGTGTAAATCAAATTTGACAAAAAGATATGATATTCGTTCGCTTAATTCCTGTCAGAGTGAGACTCTCATGAAGGAGTTGATATCATTTTTTGTGTGAGTAAAATGTTTATAACTGAGAATTTATAAAGCAAGCTAATTTCAGACGGATTTTGCTGTGCTGTTTAGGATCTTTAGGATTCACGCTCTTAAATGTTTTATATTTTGACCTTTCCAAACTCTTGGTATCTTGAGTATTATATAAAGGATATAACAAAAATACGTGTGGTGTTCATTGGAATCATTATCCTACACCTCGTCCTACACTTTTGTATATCATGGGAAATCTTTAATCACTGACTACTTAGCGGTTGATACCATGTAGTTGACAACTAGTGTTAGAGAGGACCTGAACCTCTAAGTTTCTTAATTATAAATTAAACCAAATTGAATCATAGGGTATATTTTTTAAAGAAAGATGAGTATTGACATTCTGTTGTTAAAATTTATCCCTTGGAAGTCTAATTGACGTGAAACCAACATATTCATATATATTTATCTGACGTACTAAAGTTTAGATTATTTACGAAGTGCATCGTACGATTAAAGTGTCCGTTTAATAAAGCATGCTTATAAAAATACCCAAGTTTTCTATGTAATTTATTTTAACCTTTATCTATTGTTGAAGACAAATTTCATTATGAGGAACAACAATACGAGCTATGTTCCTTTATATATATGTGCTATCTTCTTGTATTTCATGTACTTTTGGTATCCTGACCATCCCCTTAATATTCTTCCTTTTCTAGTGTAATTATATTAATGTGAAATAATATTTATCAGAAATATATTTGAAACATGCACATAATTGATTTCATTAAATGGAAACGCCTTTGTGCGTGATTTACTTCCAATATGAACCGTTAAAGGTTACTTCCAAAAACTAATTATCCGCTTTTATTCTGCGAGATTATTTTACATCCTGGTTGTTGTAAATCATTGCTATTTTTGAATATCGCACCACGTGGCAAACTATTAGAATTTTCAGAAAAGAGAGTCTATCATTACGAAACCAATCCTACTTAAACAATACTGGTCTTTCCGCGAAAAATAAGGTTAAAAATACTTACAATTGTAATCTTTTATTTTAGTCATATGTAGGATGCATTTGGCTGATTTAAGAAGTTTTTTTTTAAAATTACTAACGAATCTATGTATTTGCTGGAATAATTATGAGGTTATTTCTGTTCCGGGTAGGTAGTATCAGAATATTTTATTTCTACTTATGTGTATATGTTTACATAGCGTGTAAATTATGATGTAATCAATTAACTTTTTTAAATTTGAAGTAAATATTATACAATGACTGTCTTTTGAAGAGGTTAATATGTGGTTTCATTGACTTTTGAAAAACTGATATTCACTGAGGCCAACGGCCGAAGTCAATATCAGTTTTTCAAAAGTCAATTAGACCACATATTTACCGAAACAAAAGACAATAATTGTTTATTCCATATTCCTAGAAAAAACAATGTATTTAAGGATGCATTTGGCAGATTTAAGAAGTGTTTTGTTTTTAAATTACTAACGAATCTATGTATTTGCTGGTATAATTATGAGGTTATTTTTGTTCCGGGTAGGTAGTATCAGAATATTTGATTTCTACTTATGTGTATTTGTTTACGTATTGTGTGAATTATAATGTAATCAATTAACTTTTTAAATTTGAAGTAAATATTATACAATGGCTGTCTTTTGAAGAGGTAAATATGTGGTTTTATTGACTTTTGAAAAACTGATATTCACTGAGGCCAAAGCCCGAAGTGAATATCAGTTTTTCAAAAGTCAATTAAACCACATATTTACCGAAACAAATAGGTACATGTACATCAAAAATAAATTTTACTATTACGTTACATGCGGAACACGTGACGTTTAGTGCGGTGAATTTCCTTTTTCCACAGGAGAATATGCTGTTTTATTCAAAATACAAATCATATAGAAAAACCTACTTGAATAATATCAATACGGAATGACGTTTATTATACCCCACGCAATGGGTTGCGGAGGGTATAATGTTTTTGACCCGTCCGTCCGTCTGTCCGTGTGTCCGTCCGTCTGTCCGTCAGTCCGTCATTCCTGTTTCTTGTCATCGCAACTCCTCTCAAACCACACAACAGAATTTCACGAAACCTTTTTAGATAATAAGGACATACTATGTAGTTGTGCATATCGACAGGAAATTACGATTCAAATTTTTTTCTAGGAGTTACGCCCCTTTGAATTTATTTGCTTTAATGTACTACTGCAACAGTTTGTCATCGCAAATCCTCTGAAACCACACAACAGAATTTCATGAAACCTTTTTAGATAATAAGGACATACTATGTAGATGTGCATATTGACAGGAAATTACGATTCAATTTTTTTTCTAGGAGTTACGCCCCTTTGAACTTATTTGCTTCAATGTACTACTGCAACAGTTTGTCATCGCAACTCCTCTGAAACCACACAACAGAATTTCATGAAACTTTGTAGATAATAAGGTCATACTATGTAGATGTGCATATTGACAGGAAATTATGATTCAATTTTTTTTTCTTACACTTATTTTATTTCTCCAATGACAATGGGGGGACGTGGGGTATGTGAGCGCGCTCACTAAGGTTCTTTAATTATATAACTACAGGATAATAATTTTTGTTTTGTTCAAGTGACACAATATCAAAACACCCAAGGACTGGACAACAAGAAGATCTGTCGTATTTCTAATATCCAACCAACTATTTATTTTCAGTGTTTTGATTCTACATGTGTTATTTTATCTTGTGTGAACTGAATTTAAAGTTAAGAATGCAATGTTAAGGATGTACACCTCTGAGGAGCCAAAAATTTCTAGAATTTAACTTTTTTTCTTAACCTGATTTTTAGGTTTATAAGAGTGTAAAAAAATAATTGGTGAAGAAAAAATCATATGGTGGTGCACTTCTTTTTTTTGCTACGGCCCTTTGAAGTTACCCTATTTTGATGATTTTTCCATTTTTCATCAATTTTTACCCATTTTTAGGCTATTATCGTGAAAAAAATCACAGTTCCACAATTAAACTTTTTTTCATACTTTTAATAAAGATGAAGTGGATCAATTTGAATGAATTTAACTTAAAAAAACTATAGCTAGGTGTTAATATAAGAAAGTTTTATCATATTTTGATGCTTTTTCGTGTCAAATTCACAATTCTGTCAATTTTGTAAATTTGTGATTTTTCTCTGTTTTAAAAACAAAATGCATATTATTTTAGCTTCTTTGTTATAAAGGATTGAAAAAATACATATCTAAGAAATTTGATAAGAAAAAAGTGATATGGGATGTTCATGTGTCTGGTAAAATCATTTCTTTTGCCCCTTACCCATTTTCTCAAAATTTTGGGTAAAAAACTGACTTGATTGGTTATAAAATTTGAAAAATGTCCTACTCAAAAACTACTTATTGTAAATATACAATTGTTTCACAGAGTTAAGTTTGATTATAAAATTTTACAAATTCATTGCTATTTTCCACTTGTATTACATGTTTTGGAAAAAATTCCAGAACGAGATTTCAACGAGACTGAAACGTCAGAAGAATACATCCTTAATATAGTAAAAGATAAAAATTGCAAATTAAAGTACAACTTACAATATTGTTTAAATAGCATGAATGTATTTTATTTATTACGACTTACTCACAAATATCTGACGGTGACAACAATATGGCATTGAAATTACGTCTTTGCAGTTTGTTTCATTGAGTTCTGAAAAATATATATAAAAAGTTTATGTATCTAAATCTTATATATTATCATATACATATTGGCATTCAAGAAACCACATATCTTTTAAGTAATATATATTAATTCTTTTTAAATCATATAACAAAAATTTGAATAAAAAGATTAATTGCACTCCGAGATTAAGCAAATATTGTGTTTCTTTTTAAAATTATTAACGAATCTATATATTTACTGAAATAATTTTGAGTATACATCTGTTCCGGATACGTGTTATAAAAAAATTTGATTTTAACATATGTGTATTTGTTTACATACTTATAGTTGCAAATCACTGTAATCATTTTTTTTTTAAAGTTTGAAGTAAATATCGTTGAGTATTTAACTGCAGGATGATACATTTTGTTTTGTTCAAGTGAAACAATATCAAAACGACCAAGGACTTGATAATAGGAAGATTGTTCATATTTCTAATATCCAACTAACCATTTATTTTCATTTTTTTATCCTGTGCTATTTTATCTAGTTGTATGAACTGGATATAATTTAAGAATGTAATGTTAATTGAGTAATAGAAAACAATTGCAAATGTAGGTGCAACAATGTTGTTTAGATATTATGATTCATTTATAACGGCTTACTCACAAACATCTGACAACGACAACACTATGGTATTTACGTCTTTGCATTTTGATTTGCTGTGTTCTGGAAAAAAGGATATATTAATACCTTAAATCATATATATTTTCCTATAAATCTTGGCATTCAAGAAACACATCATTTTTCTTGTTATATTGCAAAAGTTTGAATAAAAAAAAATATTTTAAATTTAGTTTAAATTCACCAAATATCTAGCTGTAAATCAAAATTTATTATAAAATTGATTAATTGCATTCCAAGATTAAGCACATATTTCCAATGCATGGCTTTAATGACATACCATTCTTCATAAGACAATAATCTCCATCGCTTTGATAGCAAGCCATTCTTTAATCACACATAGTATACTGCTGAAACATATATATATATAAATGTGTATAATAAGACAAATACTGTTCATTTTTATGGAAGACACTAACAACATTATAAAGATTATTGTCAACATAACAGCAACTAGCTATACATATTTGGTACTGGACTAATGTTAATTAACAACTGAAAAGATGCTTTTGAAAATTTTGTTCTAAGAAAATAGACAAAAAGGAGTAATTTGATCTTTTCAGTACATTTCATAAATTATATTTGTTACAAAAGTAATAACATTAATGGTACATAGTGTATTGCAACAGATGCGCATTTCGACAATTCGTGTCTCTTCGGTGTTGCTTGATGTGAACATATTTAAAAGTCGAAAACTAAAAACAGACGTTGAAGAATGATTTAACCAAAAACAGACCTAAAGGAATGCTAAACCCGGACAAGGAATATAGATACTTAATTGAAATAATGAAACAAAGACACTAGACTTATTAGCAAAGTATACTTACTCTTATTCAGGGTATAAGCAATAAATATCAATACAATGGTATTCAAACTAACAAATAATCATTACACGAAAACTAAAACTTTGCATGAGTAACAGAGTAATAAAACATTGTACTATTTAGATTAAGATATAAAAATTAAAAAAAACAAAATGCCTTCAATAATTATGCATAAATGCCGAATTTGCTTTTTTATTATCTTTCTTGTCAGAATTTGGAGTTGATATTGTCTTCCATTTTGATTTGTTGGCAAATGACGTGTCGAACCCTTACCTATATGAAGAGAATTATACCTGTGTAAACATGCATGAAAATGTCAGCTAATATTATTAATGTACTTGAATTGGTGTATAAATACAGCCATATTTGAATCCTTTTTTTCAGAAAAATATATTCATACACTGAGACTTAATTTTCTTTTTCCTTATGTCTGTCAAAGAACCCTTGTAATCAAATATTGAGAGGAAATAAATTAGTTTGAAGAAAAATTAAGATCACCACCAGTTTTTGGTTGGGTTCGTGTTGTTGTCTTTAATTTTCCATATGTACTTGTTTGTTTTTTGTTCATTTGCAATGGTGTTGTCAGTTTCCCTTCGACTTGGGTTTTGAATGTTCCATTGGTATATTCTGCCTCTGTTGATCTCTTTTTATAAGGAAGAGATAGATCCCTGTTTTAAAATGATATGTTACCACAAACATTATTTTGTTGTTCACTTGCCTTGTGTTAATCCTTATAAAAAGTACAACCCCATAACGTAAATTATTATTTTTGATAATATGAAAATCAAAACAGTATTCAACCTAGATGAATGTTTACTTAAGGTTTTTAAAAATTGTCAAAACTTCCATTTCATATCAATCCATATTCGCAATGTAGACACACAGGTTCCTCTTGCTGCAGAGGGTAATGTGTTAATAAATCTTTAAAAAAATGAAATTATTTAAACAGAAATAATAATATGCACCTCCTTCAAGGATATAAGCTTGCAACTAAACGTAACTATCATAACAACATAACAGTCCATTTAAAAACGACATGTACTATTTCAAACTATGAGTTTGCATGTAAATCAAATACTTTAGTGTAAAAATGAGTTGTAAAAACAAATGTTAATCACCTCCAGAATAAATGAGAATAAAAAGTTCCGTTTTGTAGTATCCGTTTCTTCATGCACATACCGTTGTCGTCCATTTTTGACAAGCTAGCATATCACGTGACAAATCATCCAAATATACACTCGTATATTCTGATCCAGACATGTCAAATTTATCGAATTGGTGTTTCGATATAAAAATTGTAGACTTTCGACGGCAAATTAATCAAATTGTCGTTTAAGCTTTTGCAATTTAAAGTACATTGACAATTAAACTTAATAAATACAATTATAGATATGAGTAATCACCGTATTTAAATACAAACAATAACCCCATTTTACATTTAGCTGATAAACTGACATTCTGTGGACAAAGGAGTAGGCCCAGTAAGACCCCTTTTTGGCCCTAAAATATAGCAGTGTTACAAAATTGTTAAAATGTAAATTTTTAGCTATTTATTGGAAAGAAAAATACTTCTGTTACATAAATATGGGCTGTTTTTGACAATACAATGCACATGTATCGGGTACTAGCATCATTAAGTCATGCTAAATTACTGAAATCTTCGAAATTTTAGCATTTTGGTTAATTTTTAGACGGTTTCCGTCTGAAATGGAAGTGGCCGCATTTGTGTTCATTCTTAATATTTGAATGTAAGTTGTATTTGATGATAATACATAACATATATAAAGGTTGAGAATGAACACGGATGCGGTCACTTTCATTTTTGACTTGTCTCGCCTTGGCAGAGTAAAAAAGCTAGACTTTGGTTTGCTGTCTCCAGTGGCAGTTGTGGTGGCATCAACAATATGTTAAAGTTTGTGATTAGGTCAGTCAAAGAGGGGGGGGGGGGCACTATTGGTAAATTAATGATATTTGGTATACAGTTGTATCATTATTGGCCATTTATTTCCATGGAGATGGTCTGCTCCCTTTGTCATGTTCTATTGACTTTGAAACTTTTGCAAAGTTTACCTGACAGACAAAAACCATCTGAAAAGTGACATATTATGGCATATTTGATAGATTTTTCATATTTAAGCTTGAATTTGAGCGTCTTTGATGACTAAATCAGTTCAAATCTTTCACATAAACTAATTGAATCGACTGAAGTAGACACTTAAGTGTTTAAAAAGTGTCCAAAATCTTTCATCAGATGAACCTGAATTTTGAGGCCAAAATCGACCCTTACCGGACCTACTCCTTTTAGAAATATCAGTCTTGATTGGGAGACTGAATAGTACCACGTCTACCATTTCTTGTGCATAATAGGTATACCATCGAGAAGCAATTTATTGTGATGTATTTCAGTAGGAAATCCAATTTCCGGTTTGGTTTTCGGTTGATTAGAAACGGATGTTGATGCTTCTTTTTTTTTATTAAAAGGATAGATGATTGTGTACTACACAAACTATTTTAACTTTGCAACATGATAATGAAATTATGCTTAGTCAGGAACCAAGTTAGTTGTTTCTTTTTTTTATATATCATTGCTTATGGTTTATTTGTTGGTTTTTTATTTGTTTGTAAATTATAAGGTCGAAGAACTGTACGCCAATTTACCAAGACAACAACACGAAAAACCGAAAGGATATATAGAGTAATCTTACGGTCTTCAACAATAGACAGGTGTCTATACAATATGTCTGAATAGCTAAGAGTGTAGAAAGAAGTAATTATAACAATTGCTATATATCGAAGATCTTCTATCGACACCGAATCCCCCCAAATGGCCAAAAGAAAATATTGAAATATGTTAAAACAAAAACAGTTACAAGATCACATGAACATGTGGCGGCGTAAAACGTGTTTTTTAGAACTCAACCTTTCCTATTTAATCTCGGTCAGTTGCCAAAAAAGGTATTTAAACGAACTAAGAATAAAATTAAGTACAGGAAAATCTCTTAATTCTAAATAACAGTGGAATTGAAAGCAAAAGCTCAACTAACAACAATTTAATAAAAAAAAAATACTGTATTATAGCATGTTTGCATTTACAAAAAGAAAGCTCAACGTTATAAACTAATATGAATGCATGATGTATTGCGCCCTTATTTCGGTGGCTGCACTGTAAAGAAGAATTCATACAGCAGCATTATACACAGTACTTGATGACACACTCTTGTGAAATGCGGAGTACAAACTGTACCGAATTTCAATACAAAAAAACGGACAAAAGGAAACATTTCAGTCTTGCTTCAAACTATAATTTAGGGAGTTGGTGTTTTTATTCCGAAATATAACAGACACAGTATTTGAATAGTAATTAAACTATACCAAAAAGTTAATTAATCCAAACAAAAAGATTTGAAGTATATTCCTAACTATATGCATTGTAAATTATATTACCGTAAATAGGTAGATGCAAAATATTACTTTTTATCTAAAAATTGTAATTCCTGCAGTTGGAATAATACTTTTACAATAAATCTTTTGTGGAAAACTTTAGTAATAATGTTGACTAATTTATACTATGCAAATCACTGCTTTGAAAGATTTCAGCAATGAAAATAAAAAGTTTCTTGAAATCTGAGACGTTACTACTTGTTTATTGTTTTGTTTTTCAATTAATTTTGTGCTGACTGCATATCTGTGGTAGGGTGGTATGATCAGGCAATTTAGAACTTAAGATATAGAATAGAGTTCTTTTATTATTTTGTTTTATGTTGTTGTGTGGCCGTATCGTTGGCGTCAACCAACATCTCCCGTTAATTATGTTCCCCTAACAAAAATTCGTGGGCAAATAGTCGTCGCTTTGTCCGTCCGCCCTTTTGTTTGTCTGTCTTTTCGTCCGTCCGTCTGTATGTCAGAAACAAAAGGTTTACAGATGATAACTTCCTAAGGATAGCTGTGCACAGTATGATTTTTTTTTAATTTCTATGTTTTATTTATTTCTCCAAAATTAGTAGAAAATGGATGATAAAAGCACTTTAAGTGTTGTTCGCAATCTTGAAATGCAGTCTTAAGTCATCACTATTGAGTTAGGTTCTTATGCTCCGGATAAGGTTGCTATTGTATCAACCATATTGCTTTAAAAAATCATGTAAGTCTACTTATAGCAGCATTGTCTTAAGATCTTCATTAATGTGTAAAATTTAATGCGTTGAATATTTCATATACCAATGCAAATATTGAACTGAAAAGTATGTTTGCAAGCATTCATTTAAAATTTTCATTTTCATGTTTCAAAATGGATAATAGTTGGGCTTGAGCCTGTTTATCGAAGGTTTCTTGTGATTTGTCCTAAGACATATCATCGGCCATGAATTAAGATGGACTTAGGACTGTCCTAGGACATGTCTTAGCATGCACATCTTAAGATTATCTTACCTCGGATGTCACAACCGATATCTAAAGAAAATAGCACGATAAAAAAATAAAAACTATATATTAAGATAAAAATGTATAACAATTATCCAGTGAATATAATAATAATATTTAAATAATGATAAAATAATAACAATTATTAATAGTGTCATTATAATGATATAAAAAAACTTAGTAATTGTACATTTAAACTT